GAATCATGATATGATATTATGATATGAAATCATGAGATGAAATTGAAGGTTTGTTTGGACATGCGATATAAAATTTTTGTATTGTATATTTTCTCATAAACATAAAAATTCCATAAGTTGTAAAACTATTAAAATAGCCCCAATTGTTTATTCAATCTTATCAATTAAACAAAAAATTATAAAATCGCATAATAAATTATTACAAAGTTATTTGTTCTCCACTTAAGTAATTGTTTCATCTAACTTTAATTTAATAAAAAAAATTGAACATAAATTGTAGTGTACTAGTCTTTAATATAATCCTCCCACATAGTATGGACAATTTCCTCACGTTAAACTTGCATTTCTCGATCATGCAACCGAGAAGACGAACCAATATTGTTACTTTGAGCCATGTTGGTCAATATCCTCCGCAACTATATCTTCATGTTCATAGACCATAAATATTTCATCACTACTTTGGTATTCTCACAAATAATTATGTAACACTGCACAAGCTATGACAATTTTCACTTGTATATCAATATCATAATGGTTCATGCCTTGTTTCAGTATTCTAAATCTATTTTTCCAAGCTCCAAAAGTCCGTTCAATCACATTGCGCAGAGATGAATGCCTATAATTAAATAGTTCTTTGGCATTTTGAGGCTCTCTTTCACTTCCTCGGTAATCTTGCAAATGATAGCGTAGTCCTTTGTATGGAGCTCAAAAATCCTTTTTGTGTTTCGAAAACGAGCATCAACAACATAATATTTATCTACCAAAAAACATTTTATAAAGAATTTCTAAAAGCATATGTGACGTAAATGAGACAGCTTTATGTAAATAAATAATATTTATTCTAAGGATGTAATTTAAAGTTACCATGTGGCGGAAATGGAAATTGTGATGTTGGTTCAACAAGTGCATTCTCAAGTAGTTTACTATCATGTGCAGTACCTTCCCAACCAGCAGCAACAAAGGTAAATCGCATATCAAAAATCACAAGCATATAAGACATTTTGTGATGTTCTTCCTTTGTGATTACGATATGCTTGTTGCACCGCTTTAGGAACCTCCCCTTCTATATATGTTTCATCAATCGCACCAACACAATTCTACCAAATAAAAAATACATCAATATTAGTTTAGTGAACATAAAATAAATTGGAAGCATTATAGAATGCACTTCATAAAAAAATGTCTGTAAGAGTAATAAAAATAGTGCTTCTAAGACAATGCAAAGTCATAAAATAAATATTATCTCTTTAAACAAAGTTGATAGGAAATATGTAACTAAACACTAATAACTTACACATAAAATATAAATGTGCACTTATTAAGGCCATAAAATAAATTTATTAATGTGATTGAAATTTTACCTTAAACCAAGGCCAAAATCGAGTATTATGTCAAATTTTGAAATGTACACCAGTCATATTTTTTGGTTGTATAAATGTTGGTGCCATCTTGCTAATTGCCTCGGCAACTATTTAACATGCCGGTTAATTGTTTCAAGTGAATGTTGGTGAGAATAATAAATTTAATGTCGGTGAGAATAATAAATTTTAAAAAGTAATGATGTGAGTATAAATTTTAGGCAGAATGGTCTGGGAGACCCTCGTACTTGTCTCATTTTGTCACCTAAGCCCTTCTAATCTAGACTTTGCCAACTAAACCCTCGAACCCACTGAAATCCAACATTTTAAACCCCTTTTTTTGACCACTCAGTGGTGCGTGAACTACAAACGCCACACGTAGCTTTCCACGTCATGTAAAAATGCCACATAGGATATGACATGTTAAAAATAGGCTAATCCTTTTCTTTCAAACATTTCTTTCCTTTCTCCTTTTCAACTAGACCCTTCTACTCCCTTAATCCCGATTTACATTGTTGCTCACTGCGATATTTTTCGATTTTGTTAAGTGTTTGAGTACGCGTTTCACTCCATAGTTGTAAGTTTCTTGACTAATTTTCATTCTCTTTGTTTTGCAGTTGTGTTTTTGGTTTTTCATTTTGAATTTTGTTGTTTTGAGTTCTTGTTAGGGCTTAGTTGTTGCAGAGGTCGTGGTGTGATTTTAGGGAGGATTTTAATTTTTTACATGCCTAATAACAATTTGTAGAAGTATTATGCATTCAATGGCATTTGTCGTGAATATCTGTTAAATTTAGGGTTTTTTCGTATCTGAATTTTTTATTTTTTTTTATCAATTGTGTTGGATTTCTTTCTTGTTAGTGCTCCAATTGGATTATATCAGATTATTATAGAGGTTTTTGTTGTGTTCCATAAAGAATTAGTTTAAAATTAAGTTTTCTTTTGTCGATTAGGGGTTTTTGGTCATTTAGGGCTTTTTGTCAATCATTTAATTGTATTCTCGTGACTTTGCAGGCATGGTAAGAATATGGGTTCAACAATTATTACACTTCAAATGCATTATGGGGGCTGTTTTTTATCAGATCCTGAGCTCAGGTATGCTAATGGAATTTCTGATATTTAAAAAATAAGAATCGATATGGATGAGCTTCATATTATGTTTTTTCATAAATTAGCTAGAGAATTGGGAGTTGAACAAGTTGAAACCTTTGGGTGCAAAGTTAACAAAAGAGGTGGTTTTTATATGTTGAAAAGTGATGCTGATGTGTTAAGATTTATTAACAACTTAATGGGTGGGGACTTTGTTGATGTGTATGTGGTACATCAAATTAGTACTCCTTTAATTGTTGAGGATCCTACTGAGGTGCAAATTGCCCAATTGCTTACTCTAAAAAAAGGTAAGCCCCCACCACCTACTGTTATAAATGTTAGGGCTGATGTGTCTTTCCCTCAACCATCTGATAAAAATGATACAAATATAAAAGAAGATCAGCAACCTAGTGTAGACAAGAGTAAGAATAAGGAGGCTGCTGCTCCTGAGGTTTCTTTAGAGGACTTAGATGAAGATGAATATCAAGGTCAAGGTAATGACTTTTCTTCCTACCACCTTCATACATCTGATGAATCTGGTGTAGATGTAGATGCTAAACAATCTGATTATGAGTCACTTTATGATGTTGATGAGAACATTGATGACTTAAGTGACTTGGATTCTGAGTTTGTTGAAGCTAGGAAGTCTAACATTCAAGAACAAGTTAATAAAGAGAAGGCTGCTAGAATAAATGTAGATGAGATACCTTCTGGTCCTGTAGGTATAGATGCTGGTTTTGAAGATATTTATAAGAATAAGAGGGGAAAATATGAAGGAAAATTGGGTGGGGATGACCTGTATTTTGATAGCTCAGATCCTGGCAGTGATAATAGTGAGGATGAAGGGGATCCTGTTGATTCTGATGAGGTTGTAGATCCACCAGCTAGAAATTCAAGTACAAAGGTCTATTTTGACCCAACTGCCAAAAAAATTGTATTTCAGTTGTATATGGTTTTTGTGAATAATGTTCAGTTTAGAGAAGCACTACAGACTTACTCTATTCAGAAGGGTGTGAACATTAAACTTAAACCTAATGAAAAGGAGAGAATCAGGGCAAAGTGTAATAAGAAGGGTTGTCCTTGGCATATTCTTGGAAGTATTGAGGGTAATACTGGAAATTTTATTGTGAAGACATATTTTCCTGTCCATAAGTGTTTCAAAAGAACAAGAAACAAGTTGTGTACTCCAAACTGGATTTGTAAGACTTACAAAGACAGAATCATGAGTGAGCCTATCATCATACTCCATCAGATTCAAGGCTTGGTACAAAAGGATTATGGATTACATGTTAGTAAAACAAGTTGTAGAAGAGCAAAAATGAAAGTCATGAATGAGCATATGGGTGATTTCATAGAGGAATTTGCTAGATTGTATGACTATGCTGAGGAGTTGAAGTCTACAAATCCAGGAACTAATGTGGTTGTTAGGACATCCAAGAATACAATTCCTGGAAAAGAGGTATTCCAAGGAATTTATATTTGTCTTGGAGCATTAAAAAGTGGTTGGATGGAGGGGTGTAGAAGGATAATTGGTTTTGATGGTGCATTTCTGAAAGGTGTATGTAGAGGTGAACTGTTGTCTTGCATTTCCAAGGATGGAAATAATCAGATGTACCCTGTAGCATGGGCTGTAGTTAATAAAGAATCCAAGGACACATGGTCTTGGTTTATCAAGTGCATCAAACATGATTTGGAACTGACACAAACTGAAGGTGAAGGACTGACAGTTATGTCTGATATGCAGAAGGTATGAGAACACTTTGTAGTATTTGTTTTACTTTGCTATAGCAATTTCTATGTTACACTTATGTTCCTATTGTTTTTCCTTGGCATGCTTTTTTTCTTTGATAGGGTCTTAACCTAGCACTTGTTGATTTATTACCAAATGCTGAGATTAGATGGTGTGCTAGACATATATGGGCCAACTGGAAGAAGGTATGGAGTGGTGAAGAAAGGAGGAAGAAGTTTTGGCAGGTTGCCAGGGCTCCATTTGAAGTTCATTTACAATCAAAACTTGATGAAATGAGTCTGTTGGGAGAATGTATTGTGGAAGCTTTGTTAAAGTACAACAAAAATGCATGGTGTAGGGCATTATTCAAGGACTATAGCAAGTGTGACATAGTTGAGAATAATATGTGTGAGACATTTAATAGTTGGATCTTGGCAGCTAGATTCAAATCAATCATCACAATGTTAGAGGAAATTAGAGTCAAAGTCATGGAAAGAATGACTCAAATGAGGGAGTTTTCTGAAAAATGAATAACTGATGTGTCACCTATGGCTATGCAAATTCTTACTGATAATGCTGAACATGCAGCCATATGTGAAGTTAAATTTAATGGAGATAATGGCTATGAGATTCAGCATCCACTATATAAACATGTTGTTAATCTCAAAAAGAAAGTGTGCAGTTGTAGGTCATGGCAACTGAAGGGGATTCCTTGTGCACATGCAATTACTGCAATGCATTACAAAGATCTAGATATTGAGTCATTTGTTGATCACTGGTACAAGAAGGAAACATATTTGAAGGCCTACAGTAGGTTCATTCAACCTATGACAAACATGAAGATGTGGCCCAAGAGCACAAGGACATCCATTGAGCCACCTGAAATCACTCTTATGCCAGGAAGACCAAGGAAAAAAAGGTCTAAAGATAGTGATGAGTCTAGTAAGAAGAAGTTTGGAAAGGCTACAAGGAAGGGGAGAAAAATGAAATGCTCTTTGTGCAGGAATTTTGGACATAACAAGAAAAAATGTCCAATTGTTGTAAGTTTTGTTTTAACTTCTTCAACTTTGTTAATGAAATTTATTTTTATCAATACTTCTTAATTCAGTTTGGAAAAATTTTGTATGTAGAAAAATGGCTATACTACTGGAACTGCAAGAACTGCTACAGGTGGAAGTGGTGGTGCAACTACTTCAGCTGCTTCTACAGGCGTAACTGGTGAGGCTACTAGTGGTGCCACTGGTGAAAGTGGTGGTGCAACTACTTCAGCAGCTTCTAGAGGTGCAACTACTGGTGGAAATGGTGGTGCAACTACTTCAGCAGCTTCTATAGGTGTAACTACTGGTGGAAGTGGTGGTGCAACTACTAAAAGACCAGCCACTACTTCAGCAGCTTCTGGAGGTGCAACTACTGCTGCAACAATTACTGGTGGACGTGCTGCAAATATTTCTTTAAATTTTGCAAGTGTTGCTCAATCAACAAGTCAATTTAGTACTCAACAGTCAACTACTAGTGCTAGTGGCTCAAATAAGAGTAGCAAAGTTAAAAGAGGTGGTGCAAATCCTGAATATAAGAGGCCAAGAACAGAGAAGCCAAAAACAGTTGGTTTTGGTGTGCTATTTGGAGCAAATGGTAGTGTGATTGAGAGGGTAAGTATTATCATTTAGGGACCTTTAAATTGATTCTATAGAATCTCTCTAACTAATATCATTATTGCCTTTTAACAGTCTGCAACTACTGATAAAGTGTTACATTGTGCACCATTGAAGAGTTCAGTGCCTACCAATATCGATCTTGGTTGCAAACCCAATGGACTAAGGTGGAAGGGTGGAGCTGCAGTTACTCAAAGGCAGCTACAAGAACAAAGTTACAAGCGAGCCACTCAGTCCACACCAAGCACTCAAGATACATAAATTTCATAGTAAAGACTCATGTTTTGCCTAGCTAAATTCTCAATGACATTGTCTATGATACTTTTCACTATTAACTTAATTTTCAACTATTGTGTTAGCTTGCTATGACAAACAAGTTATTTTTGCTTATGAATTTGCTATGATAATTATAAGTCTTAATCTGGATATTTTCATACATTATCATAGTACTCAAATGAACAAATCATCAATACATCTTAAATACAAAAGATAGAAATCAAATAACAACAATCACAACAACACTGATATCAATACTAATGCTCGATCTCCCCTGTCTTCCATGCCTTTTATGCTTTCCATGCCTTCCCTGCCTTCCATGCCTATGCCTTCCATGATCAACATTTGTTGATTGATTCTTCATGTAGTGTTGTTCTTGGTAGGTAGGATCAGCCATATCAGCCCATCGAAAAAATCCACATCCATTACCATTTGTGTATTTTTGACAGCCCCAAAATATTCTTCCTGGATTTGTTGATGTTCTTGACATCTTAAGTTCAGCATGAAGCCCACAATAGCAAAAACAAACAGTTATTGTGAAGAACAAAAAAATTAACGAGTAAGAAAAATGCGAGAAAAATAAAATATAGACAAAAAAGGCCTGATCAATTATGGAGAAGAAGAAGAAATTTGGAGAGAGATAAACGAGTGAGAAAGAGAAGACATTTTGGATATTTGAAGAAGAAATTAGGGGAATTTGGGGAAGATGGCCAAAAATGACCGTTATTGGCTTTTTAAAAGCATCTCACGCTCCTAAAGTGGGTGTAATTCACGCACTTGAACTACTTTTGCCACATGGGATGACAGGTCAAAAAAAGGGTTTAAAATGTTGGATTTCAGTGGGTTCGAGGGTTTAGTTGGCAAAGTCTAGATTAGAAGGGCTTAGGTGACAAAATGAGACAAGTACGAGGGTTTCCCAGACCATTCTGCCTAAATTTTATTTACATATTAAACAAATGGTTAGTAGATATAAATGTAAGGTTGTTTTAACAAAATATAATCTCATGGATCAATTATTGTATTAAAATATCTCAAATCATGATATGGAATCACCATATAATTCCATATCATGGTTTTTGGAGAATATGGTATCACCTCTCATGTTATGGAATCATGAGATGGAATATGTGTAAAATCGCATGTCCAAACGCTGATTCCATCTCACGATACTATATCGTGATATGGTATCGCATGGCCAAACGCCTACTTAATATGAAATTTTAAAAAATAAATATTTTTTAAAAAATCTTGTGATCTTAGACTAAATAATATATTAAAATGTCATTTTATCTTGTCGTATTAAACATATTATATGAAAAGTTAGAATGAAAGAGATGCAAAAATAGAAAAAAAGTTTTTTTTTTTTTTAAACTGACTAAAAATGAAAAATAAAACAAACAAATTAAAATAAGTATCCAGGTACAATATGGTGATGATTTATCAAGATTTGCACTTAATATCAATTGATTAATTGGATGATATCATTCTGACAATAGCAGATGGTTACCTACTAACTATATTGGAAAAAACAACATTACAACGCTGAATATATAGCTTATAAGAAAATGAGTTTTCACCTACCTTATTTTCAAAAAAATTAAGAGTTCATATGGTAAGTATTGTTGTTTAAAACAATAGAAAGAGATCAAATTGCACCTCTCACACTATTGCAGGACTCAATATTCTCCCCCTCCATACCCTGAACTAGACATATAAAGTGCGAATAATATCATATCATATGAGGGTTTAATTAATGTCAGATAAATCAAGAATTGAGAAAGAACGCGATTCTTTAAACGTGTTATACGAATCTATAGGACGCAGTAAAAACATTTTGACAATAATTAGATTTGTGGCAGTTCACAGATTTCCCACGGCTGAAAGTTGATAATGACTTATCATTCAAAGAAAACAAACAACAGTACAACTGACTTACTGCACACTCTTTCACTATACTCAATCATATTGTCCTCTTATGCTATTCAAATACTGTTTTCAATGTGATAGCGTTTGGACACAGATTCACAAATATTTTTGATGATGAAGTTTTGTATCAACTTTAAAGTTAAAGTTTGAAGTTTTGTTTTGATATACGAAAATGAGTAAGTCATAGTTCATAGATAAGATATCGAAAGACACCACATTGATAAATTGCATATCTTTATGTTCTTTTTATACTAAGGAGGCGTTTGAACACGAAATTATTTGGGATCATGATTTCATATCGTAAATTCTCCACACAAAAAAAATGATTTGGGATTTAAATCTGAATTATTTATCCAAACAAAACTTTAATTTCAAATCATGATTTTATTTAGCACGTCTAAATGGTCCTTTTGAGTTTTAACCCTCAAAAATATTCCTTTTTAGGATGTTCAATCCAGTGTAAAATTTAAAAAAATGGGCATAATTAATTCAGTATAAATCAATAGGCGGAGGGAGCTGGAGCCAGCCGTATCATTTAATTGAGGTGGCTTCATTGGTTGCAAAATGGAGTAGTCAAAGCGGATTATGCTGAAATTAAACAAGTTGGATTAATAAGTAGGTTGGACTCTAAATCCGTCAAATAATTACTTGGAACTGAAATGGGCTAAAAAAGAGTTGAGTCATGCCCACCAATTTGACCATATTTTTTCAAATGGTCCACCTTTTCCTACCCTACTCCTCCCCTACCATCCATCTAAACTTGACCCAACTTGGAACCGAGACTCGAATTGGACCCAAAACTCGACTTTGACCTGAAACCTCAAGATCTAACCCTGACTCAAAATTTGAGACTTGACCTCAATCTCGACTTAACTTTAACCCGAAACTTGAGACATGATACCCTAAACCTTGACATGGACCTGAAATTCGAGACTTGGCCCCAAATCAAGACCCAAAACTTTAGATTCGACCCCGAGTCGAGACCCGAGATTCGAGACTCAAATTTGACCTTGAATCCAAGACTCAACCTTGATTCGAGACTTAAGATCTGACACCGATTCTAATTCGAGACTCGAATTTGACCTTGAATCCAAGACTCAACCTTGATTCAAGACTTAAGATCTGACACTGATTCTAATTCGAGACCCGAGATTCAACCCCAACTTGAAACTTGAGACCTAATTTAACCCAAATCTTGAGATCCTGACCCGGGACTCAAAATTTGACCCGACTTGAGACACGAGACTTGACTTTAACCCAAAACTCGAGATTCGACGCCAAACTAGAACCCAAGGCTCTAGAGCAGACCTTAATTCAAGACTCAAATTTGACCTTGAATCCAAGAATCAACCTTGACGTGAGACTTAAGATTTGACCCCCGATTCTAATTAGAGATCCGAGATTCAACCCCAACTTGAAACTTGAGACCTAATTTGATCCAAATCTTGAGATCCTGACCCGGGACTCGAAATTCGACCCAACTTGAGACACGAGACTTGACTTTAACCCAAAACTCGAGATTCGACGCCAAACTGGAACCCAAGGCTCTAGAGCCGACCTCAATTCAAGACTCAAATTTGACCTTGAATCCAAGAATCAACCTTGACTTGAGGCTTAAGATTTGACCCCAATTCTAATTCGAGACCCGAGATTCAAACCCAACTTGAAACTTGAGACCTAATTTGACCCAAATCTTGAGATCCTAACCCGGGACTCGAAATTCGACCCGACTTGAGACACGAGACTTGACTTTAACCCAAAACTTGAGATTCAACCTCAAACTGGAACCCAAGGCTCTAGAGTCGACCTCAATTCAAGACCTGAAACTCGACTTTGACTTAGAACCCGAGACTTGACCTTGACTTGATTTAAGGAGATCCGACCTCGACCCTGACTTGGGACCTGAGATCCCAGCCCTACCCGAGACTTGAGACCTGATTTTTGACCTCGCCACAAGATCGGAGAAACGATCATAACCCGAGACCAAGCTCTATTTTGACCTAGAATCGGAGATCTAACACATAATAGGGAGGAAATAATAAAGAGGATTTGTTTTTTAAGCTACTTTTATGGAATTCTAATATTTATAGAACTTTAATTTAAAAATGATCTTCGCAAAAAATCATCCTCTTTTACAAACAAATATACCCATCAATTAATTAAGGCTTCGAAACATTTCGAACGAATACATCCTATATTAGTCCCCATAGCATCACCAATTAAGCAATGTAAGTTCAAGTTAATCAGTTAATTAATAAAAAAAAATATTGATTACCAGATGCATATATATGTGTTAAAATTATAACATGTGTTCTCATCAAACAAATATGTTTTACCGAACATGGTACTACTTCTCTTAATGTGCAATGCATGTTAGTTGTCTAATATCTTGGAGAAAAATATATAAATGAGATTGTATTAGTTACATAAATAGCTTTATCAACTCATATCATAAATTTTATTCGTGTATACATGTACTCCCTCCGTTCATCTCTACTTGTCTATGTTTGATTTGGTACATCCTTTAAAAATCAATAAATGAAATAATAATGTTACTATATCATCTTTAATTATTATAAGTCATCTGAATGTTGAGAAACGAATAGTACTTGATAGTAACAGTAAAATAGTATATTATCTGGTGATTTTTCATACTGAACAAGTAAAAGTGAACGGAAGGAAAATCAATCAGGGCGGGCCTTGGTATATATATAGAGTGGCCCATAGTTAGGTTATGAATATAAATGAGTTTGGTATATACATATGTGTGTGTGAAACCTAGCTAGAAGATCAATGGATTCATGACGATTGTCTAGTTTCCCTCTCTTTGTTGGCATTGTTCAAGAAGGAATTCACTAGAGTAGGGACATTTTTCTCTTAATATTATTAAGGTGAAAGAGACAGACATTTCATTTATTCACTTATTATATCACCTCTCATTTTAAACCAACTATTCATTTATATAGGGGGTCCATAACACCCAATGCCCAACTCAAATATGTTTAATTTGCATTTCAATTGGATGGTGGAATTATATTTCATAATTAATATCTCTCCAA